TACTGTAGTGTAGATTAAGATTTGCACATGCAAGCCAAGAAATGTAGTATTAGTGTCTTGTATTTGTGTTGTGGATATACGTGGGGATGCATTACAACGTACATTACTATTATGTATGAAAATGTATATACATAATTAGGTTAATCTATTAATACTATTACTGTGCAACCTATAAGCAATATGTTATTATTCAGAAACCTTTAGTATTATAGAACTTGATGAGCACATGTAGATTTGTGTACACTGTACACACATTTGTGCATGTACATGGCATTTGGAACAACTTTTAAAATCTGTAAAAATTTAACTTTAATCATAATCAGCTTAAAGTTACTATTCAAACTGGGAACATGTATAATTATGCATTAGAAAAATTATGAAAGTGGTGAATTCCCTCATAGCCATTTTTGATGGAATTTGACCGAAGACCATGTACTATAGTACAGGGTATTAGTACTATAGTACAAGGTATTACTATAGTACAGGGTAATACTATAGTACAGGGTATTACTATAGTATTACTATAGTACAGGGTAATACTATAGTACAGGGTATTACTATAGTACAGGGTAATACTATAGTACAGGGTATTACTATAGTACAGGGTATTACTATAGTACAAGGTATTACTATACTACAGGGTATTACTATAGTACAGGGTATTACTATAGTACAGGGTATTACTATAGTACAGGGTATTACTATAGTACAGGGTATTACTATAGTACATGGTTAGGGACATGCACATTATTCTTTTTTTCAACCCTATAATTCTATTCTTCAATTCTCTTCCTCAATCCCATTATTCTCTCCTTTTTGGCCCATTATTCCCATTATTATGCTCTGATAATACCAAAAATTCATTTTGATTATTAATATCATCATTCATGGTTATACTGTAACACTACTGATGATTCAATGTAATCCTCAAGTGAATTACTTTGAGTGTCCTAAAATCTGTTCAGTATTATTTCCAGTGGAGTTACTCATTGCTGTTGCTGTAAAGTGCTGTTAAATTGTACTGTACTGTTTGCTGAGTGCTGACACATGCTCATGCAGTATTGAAAGGGTTAAATATTGATCACATGATCCAGGCAGGCAAATTTTAACCCATTATTCTTTCTCTAAATTTCACACCCATTATTCCAAAAGAAATTCCCGAATAATGTGCGTGTCCCTATACATGGTATTACTATAGTACAGGGTATTACTATAGTACAGGGTAGTGTTGTACAAATTTGTAAATTTATTAAAAATCTATCTTTGATTGGAATCAGCTCAAAGTTTCTTGCATATCCATAAAAAATTAAAAAGAAAAATTTACTTCTAGCATTTTTTGATAAAAATGTAATACACCTTATATACTATAGTACAGGATTTGTCAAAGTTTAGAGCAGTTTCAATAACCCACCATCAAAATGCTGAGCGCTATGCCAAAAACCTGTGGAAAACCCTGTGCATACCACTTGGCAGCATTTCATTTCTTTTCCTTAGTACACAATGTCTTTGTGACATGTATGATCTTATTTGATCTCCCTTTGCCTTTCTCTTTCCCCCTCTTAAATATAAACTACTGACATACAATCTCCCTGAATATAGTGTCTTCTCATACACTCTCTTTATAGCTTTACTATTCTACATGTCTTTTTTCTCTACATCTTTCTCATTTTTGCTCCTGTATAACACCAGCATTAGATTTACTAATGTAGTAATGTGTCAGTTGACATTATAGTTCTGCTCAAGTTCATGCAAATGAAATTAAGACAGCAACAATTGTTTTGCAACACTTAAGCAACTTTAAAACCTCAACTTACTAAAAGTGAGCTCAATAGTGGCTGTGTAGATACTATACTGTAGTAGAGCATAGACCCAGGAGGTGCAGCACAGATATCCTCAGTCTTGCCTTCAAGGTGTGGCAGTGTTGCTCAAATCTAGTTGCCATACATGGGTACTCTATACTACCTGTACTTGAATGCATGATCACCTGATTTGCAGGCTATAAAAAGAGCAATTTTTGCCTCCTTTCCACATCATTGCAAGCATTATTTCCTCTTTGTTGCAAGCAAAAAAAGAGTGAAGAAGCTAAGCCATGGCTGGTATGAAAGATATAAATGTTGCCTATGTCAATGCCACTGGACAGACTGATTTTGAAGTTGTTGTGTTCACAAAGAACTTCAATATCAACACTCCAAACGTGTACTATGCTGCCTGGAAGATCCTTAGGGGACAGGCAGAAATTGAGTTTGTCTATCCTGCCTCCATGAAGGTCAGTGCTACTTACACTAGCTCTGGACAGATTGTGAAAGCTGGACCATTCCCTTCAAAACTAGGATCAACTTGGGAGATCACTCAAGACAGCATCTCTTCCACAGCAACCCTCAAAGAAGGTAATATACAAATGATTTTTTCAGATTGGTTCATTTTTATCTCTAATATAGTGAAGGCTCCCACTAATCCAAATGGGTCCATTGTCATCAGGAACATTCCACCAGCTACATGGAGTGGAAACATGTTTGACCTTGGTGTCTATAAGAATGGCAGTCTCCTAGTCATTGAAAAAGACGTCCTTGTTGGCAATCAAGTTGGCTTTTTGCTCAAACCTAAGCTGTACTTTGGAGTAGTCCGTAACTTGGTTGAGGGTGACATCTTCACTTCTTTGGAGATCACCAGCTTCTTGACTGAGTTTGATCTGACTAACTATCCTAATGGTTTAAAGGTTACACTCAATTTCCCTGTTGGTGGGGAGTATGTGTTCTCGGGAGAGGCCATGAGCTAAACAAACAATTTTGGACTTGTTATGTATATAATGATATAATGCTTTGCAATTGTTTCTATAGCTATTGTAGTTATTAGTTTTTCAGAATTATTAGTTTAGATGAAGTCGTAATGTCATTGGCCTCACCAGTGATTAGCATGGGCAAGGACTATGGTATAGGGATGGGTACTGCAATTGTCTAATTTGTCATGTCAGTGTGTATATGTGTGGACAAATACTTACACATACACATACCTGTGGTGTCTGTTGGAGAATGAGTTAATTACTGATTGTTTGCATTTCTGTTCTTTTAAGATGAGGTTGCAGAGAATAACTAAGCTGGGTGGGGCTGATATGATTGTTTAGAGGTTGTGAACTGAATAAAAAGTTTGTCCATGAGGATGCAAACATGAAAGAGAAAACTTTGCATTTTATTCTGGTACATATACATGCCCTTAAATTGTGTAGTAGTTTAAGCTGATTCCAATCAAAATTGGATTTTTTTTAAATTTGA